AGGAGGCGGTGGGGAACCAACACAACAACGCAGAGGCTGACAGGTGGGCCTTGGGAGCCGAGCAGCCTACAGGTGGGGCCGGTCGGCCCCACATGTCAGCTTCTCATCCCCCGTTTCGATGTGGAGTCCTCCCGAGTCCTCTAGAACCTTCTGGTGTCTGTTTTGCGGCGGATAAGCATAATTAAATCTGACATGTATGTCTATCTTGATGGTTTTCTGGATAAACCCTGCAGAAAATACAGATTCACCAAAACTCGTGGAATTTGTTAGTTTAAACCCCAAAACCTTAATTGGTGATTATATTTATGCACTTATACATGTTTTATTGACGGTTTATAATGGTTGTTAACTACCGTCAACAGCCTCCACAAATCAACGACTTGTATAGGCGGTTGCCCAGACGCCTCTAGAAACGGTAATGCTAGGGCTAGGGCATCTGTTTGTTCGGACGCTTAAAAAATCTCTCTACTGCGCTCTGCCTCCACCGCGCCGCCCACCTGTACTACGGCATCCGCCCCCTGACTGCTCCACCGAGCCGGTGAGCCTCCACGACGAATGCTGTAGGAAGGAGGCGAGGGGAGGAGCTTCGTGTGACGCCGTGCCGGCGTCGGGCTCTGCAACAACGTGCCTTTATTCGTCCAAAGGGCAAGGTGACATTGTGTTGAAAAAGCGCATGTTTCAAGCCGTATGTTTTAAAGTGTTGCAGATGTTTCAGAGGTATATTGCAAGTGTTTTATATCGATGTTGCAAAAGTAGATCAAGTTGTTACACATGTTGCAATGGCTATACACGTATATTTCAAGTGTATGTTCTAAATGTTTTATCTGTTTCAGACGTATGTTGTAAGTATTTCATTTGAAATGTTGCAATGCAAGTGTTTCGGGTGTTTTCATACTATGTTGCAAATATTTCATCTGGATGTTTGCAATGGCTACACACATGTTTTCAAGATTTTTCTGGTGTTTTTACAAGTGTTTCAAATATATGTTACAAGTGTTTCAACTATTTTGAACATATGTTTCAAGTATTTCATCTGGATATTGCAAAATAGAACGAGATTTTGCTCATATTACAATGGGACTCATCGGCCGCAGCCTACTGCAGCTAGCTGTTGGGGCGCAGACGATCTCCGCGTGCGGTCGAGCAGCACGGGCGATGTCCGTGCAATGTGGACCCCACATGAGCGCGATAAACAAGGTCCAGGAATAGGCTTCTGGACGTGACATCCAAACGCTAGAAATTGATTCGTAGAGATGAGTTGGGAACCAATAGGGTCTTAGATGCCTCTAAATCTTCCCTGTCACCCCTACCTCTCACGGCTCATGAGTCACGAGTATACAGAGAGCTTCGTACTTTTTCTAGAGAATTTTTTTCTCACGCCTTAGGACAGTCCAAATAAAAAAAACTAGTAGTTTCTATAACATAAGATACCATACTAAAAAAAATACTGCTTTCCAACCCATGGTTTCTGTGAGTAATAATTATTTTCTCTTTCTCTCTCCCAACTCTATCTTCTTCCTCTAATGGAAGTACGGCACGAGCCCCTTAGAAACTAGTTGTTTCTTCTCAATGATGATTTCATGGTTTTTTGGTGCATTGGGTCAAGAGAAGACCTGGTTTCTTCATGAGAAAACCATTTCTATGATTTTTGCTCTCTTTCTTCATTAACTACGTTGCCGTGTCAGTATGTTGCCTACGTGGTAAGTCATTTAATGAAGATAAATACCATCATCAATACACCGTTGGGACTGCCCTTGCCCCACCGCGGCTCCCTTCCTTGTGCCATCTCCGGTAGGTCGACTAGAATGACTACGGACGCGCGTGCGTCCCTCCTTCTCAGTTCATGCGTGTGCGCCATGTGCCAGCTTATTCAGCAACCAGCAGTGTAGAGTACGGTTTCTTTTTCTACCGCCACCAACTACCATGACTTCATGAGCCTTGCATGACCGCACGAGGCCTGTGAGGCTGTGACCTCACCCTGACTCGGATCCAACGTAGTAGCTCGATCGCTAGTGCTTCCTGATCGAGTCCGACGAAGGACGATGATCGCCTCTGACTTCTTGGCTCCTGGCGGCGGTTTATACAGTTAAACCCACTGTATACTAAGTATATAGTACGACGGCGGGCCATTATCTAAAAAAAATGACGGCGGGTGTGCCGCGCTGCACGTTACAACGACCCACCACAAGTAAAATGTCGAGCATTATCTTGCCATCTCTCTCTCACCAAACGCACTGAGATTTACGCTTGACTGCAGCCGTGCCCTACTGTGTCCTTCAAGCAGAGAGCAGAAAAGGAAAACACAGCTGTATCCTGTGTCACTGTATGGCTGCTTGCTTGATATAGTCTTGTTTAGATTGGGGTTAGGAATCAGTATTTGTCACTGTAGCACTTTTCGTTTGTATTTGACAATTATTATCCAATCATGGCCTAACTAGGCTCAAAAGATTCGTCTCGTAATTTACAATCAAACTGTGTAATTAGTTATTTTTTTATCTACATTTAATACTCCATACATATATCCAAAAATTTAATATGATGAAAAAAGAGTGAAAAAACTTGCGATCTAAACAAGGCCTACGCTATGCCTATGCGTTGGAACCTGTAGCGCATCCCTAGACCAGAATTCGGACAGGCCAAAGAAAGCACAAGTCCACAACAGCAGAGCTGCTTGCTTGATTTGCCTTTGTTTAGATTGATTCCTACAGCAAATGAAAATCTTGCAGCAGCAGCAGTAAGGCATCGTTTAGTTTCTCTTCTTCAAGTTTACTTCATATCCCATCGAATATTTAGATATATACGTGGAGTGTTAAATATAGATTAAAAAATAACTAATTGTACAGTTTACGACTAATTTGTGGGACGAATCTTTTAAACCTAATTAGTCTATGATTTGACAATGTTGTGCTATAGTAACACATGTGCAGACGACGGATTAATTAGGCTTAATAAATTCGTCTCGCAGATTACCGACGAATTCTGTAGTTTGTTTTTTTATTAGTATTCGAACACCCCATGTGACATCCCAATATGACACCTGATGTGATACCCAAAACTTTACCCCCTGAATTTAAACAAGACCTAAACACGAAGGACAAGGATGTTGGTTGGGAATTGGGACCTGAGAGGCCTGACAAGTGAAAAAAATAGGTGTACCACTACCACGCCGGACGAGAGACAGGACGCGGGGGAGGCGCGAGCTGTTTGGCGCAAGCAACTAGCAGAATCTCCAAAAAGGGCCAACTGGTTCAGCCATGCACAGGATCATGCATGACAAGTGCTGGCAGTCATCAGCCTCGTTGGAGTAATGTACTACTATTAAAACCAAGTAACCTGTGATGACTGAAGACCACCACTGCCAAGGGCCAGGGTAAACACACCACCTCGACATCTGGATCGAAACATTGTCTGACGTGCATCCGTGCATGCACCGATGCACGCCATTGAAGCGGTCATTGTTCAATGTTCACCAGGAATTTCAGTGAAATCATCCCCTTCAAATATAGAATCTCTCTGGACAGAGTCATCTTCACGTTCACAAATCAAAAACCTGGACGGCGTCGCCGCTGCTGATCACTGCATGGACAGACCAGGTCGAGCCGACATGCGACAGCCGAGACGCGGCGCGCGCGGTCGGCCTTCCAAGTTCCAAGTGCGTGCCCCCGCACGGCCGTGCACTCTTCTGTCACTGCTGATGCGGCGCGGACCTCATCGGATCGGGGCAGGCCACCGGCTCCCCGCCCTCCCTCGTCCAGCGTCCTTGCCAAATCCAACCGCCAAACCCCCATCCACTTAGGGATGAAAACAAAATCGATACGATATTGTTGGAAGCGAATACGACACCGATACTCCGGTAATTTCAAAAACGATAGTAGTCGATCGAAAAATACATCGATAATGATCGGAATCCATAAGAACGATATCCTAAAAACGATAAACACGTCAAACCGTAGAACATGAGAAGAGCCGTAGAACTCAATCTATCTCGCATGACAATAGTAATAAATAAAGCCACAATTGATAAGACCACAAGCTAAAACCACATTTCACACACCATCTTAGGTCTCAAACAAGCTAAATCCCAGATTCCGTTCGTGTTCGTGATGACTGTCTAGAGTTAGGGTAGTGCAATACGTGATTAGCTGATTGCCTTGTTGCTCCTATACGAATGAAATACTTATCGTATAGTTTGTTTCCACAAAAATATTTGCCTTATGTGCTTGCGTGTGCCGATGTGATGCTTAGATGTGCGCCAACTGTTACATAGTCTATAAATAAATTTGGATTCAAGGCCTTTCGGTAACTACGGACGGTAAATTATCGGTATTAATACGGCAATCTTCGAAAACGGTCCCGTAGGACAAAATCATTTTCGCTTTCATTTTCAATTATTTTTATAGTTATCATTTTTGTTTTTTTTATTACCGCTACCATTTTCATTTAGGCCTGAAAATCAGAAAAAACTCAAAAATGATTTTCGAAAATTGGAAATTATCGTTTTTGTTTCCATCCCTACATCCACTCCACTCCCACCCTCCGGCGTCCGCCGTTGCTTTCCGCTGGTCATCCATCCCACCAAACGCCCGGGATTTCTTTTCTTCATAAAAAAAATCGACAAGGAAGGAAACCGGGGGGTTGAGCGCACGGCTGCCTGGCTATAAAAGGCGCTCCACCCCCCGCTAGCTCACCAGCTCTCCACCAAGAGCTATACCCCCGCACCACTACCTAACGCTACCTGCTTTTACACCGCGGCGGTCGCGTTGAGCTCGAGTTCGCGTCCGTCCCAGATCCGCCGTGCTCCTCCACCGCTCGCGCAAGGTTGGTTGCTGGCCTCGCCTCGTCTCGCCTGCTCGTCTTGCTTTCCTTTCCTTCCTGCCTGGATTTGCGCTTAATTCTCGATCACGAGGCGCTCCGTCCTCGTTCGGGGGATCAATCAAATTCAATCAATTCGATTGTGTGTACGAATAATAACGCGGTGGGGGTCTTGTGTCGCGGTGCAGATGAAGATCACGGTGCGGGGGTCGGAGATGGTGTACCCGGCGGCGGAGACGCCGCGGCGCCGGCTCTGGAACTCGGGGCCCGACCTGGTGGTGCCGCGGTTCCACACGCCGAGCGTCTACTTCTTCCGCCGCAAGGACGCGGACGGGAACGACCTGACGGCCCCGGACGGCAGCTTCTTCGACGGGGCGCGGATGCGGCGCGCGCTGGCGGAGGCGCTGGTGCCCTTCTACCCGATGGCGGGGCGGCTGGCGCGCGACGAGGACGGCCGCGTCGAGATCGACTGCAACGCCGGCGGGGTGCTGTTCCAGGAGGCGGACGCGCCCGACGCCACCATCGACTACTTCGGCGACTTCGCGCCCACCATGGAGCTCAAGCGCCTCATCCCCACCGTCGACTTCTCGGACGACACCTCCTTCCCGCTGCTCGTGCTCCAGGTTCGGGTCTTGCATTTCACTAGGATTTTGATAATTTGATCGGGGAAGGGTTGAAAGTTGAAAGTCGAAACAGAGTGGGGTTTGCGTGAGGAGATCGAGGTTATCTGAGTCGCCGCCAGCGCACAACGTCTGGGTCAACGTAGGTAGACGCATCACAGTTGTTGCCTTGTTGGGTGGGTGCTTCCGTGCATGTGCGCCATGTGGACAACATTATGGCCGGTCCGCGGGCGCCGACGCGAATCGGTCCGCGTGGAAACAAGCTGTGTCAAGCCTGCTTGACGTTGCTCCATTCCTGCGACAGCCGAGGGTTGAAAGGACGATCTTCAGATCTTACATTTATTCCTTTCCCTAAACTTTAGTTACTATCGAATCGTATAACATGTATAGAGTATTAAATATAGATTAAAAAATAATTAATTACACAAATTACGATTACTTCACTAGATGAATTTTTTAAACCTAATTAGTCCATGATTTGATAATGTGGTGTTACCGTAAACATTTGCTAATGACGAATTAATTAGGCTTAATATATTCGTCTCGCGGATTATTGAGGACTTGTGTAATTTGTTTTATTATTATTGTCTGAACACTTTCATATGACATTCCTATATAACACCTAACCCTCGTGTCCCCCCTAAACTTTAGCTCTAAATTTAAACACCAAGACTTGCACTGGACCAAGCGTGAAATGTATTTTTATGTTAAATCTATCGGGAGATATAAATGTCAATACTATTTTCTATAAACTTGGTTGAACTTAACCTTGACTTGTCGTAAGCCTATAATTTCATTTCTTTTGAACGAAGGGAGTATTTGTTTAAGGTTCACAGATGCTATCAAGGTCATCACTCAGCAGGCGGAAACCTGGCACCTTGCCAAGGTGTGACCCAGTAACCACTAACCACGCTGATGATGCTGAGTGATGAGTAATAAAGTGGGTTGTTTCTTTCGTTGAACAGCCAAATGTCGTTGCGCGCTTGTTGTTCTTTGCTTAGCATGCACGCGTTGCTTGCTCGATCAAAGAAAATGACAGCCTAACAACAGGAGCGCCAGAAAGATGATGTGTTAGACTTTTCTTGAGACAGCAAGCAAAGTTTGGTCGTTTCTTCTGTTCTGATCTGCATGTCTCTTGCTTTGTATAGTACAGTACCGTTCGTGTTTGGTCCATACTTAGCTGTGCATCCATGATTATGGCTGGCCTCAACTATGTGAAAACGTAGCATGAAGCGAGCGAGGTGCCAAGAAACACCAAGATTGGCCAAGCAAAACATTAGATTTTCTGCAATTGTTGGGGTGTGGGTTGTGCAATAATAATTCGACCACAATGGTATTCAATTCAGTCTCTTGCTCTCGTCTTGTATTCTTCGTTTGATAGGGACAACCGGACAAGTTAAAGAATGCTTATACTTTAAAAAAAAGGTCAATTTCGGCACCTAACCAAAATTGGCGCTCTTGTTTTTGCTGCAGGTGACCCACTTCAAGTGCGGTGGCGTGGCTATCGGCGTTGGCATGCAGCACCACGTAGCCGACGGCTTCTCCGGCCTGCACTTCATCAACTCGTGGGCGGACCTCTGCCGCGGCGTCCCGATCGCCGTCATGCCCTTCATTGACCGCTCCCTCCTCCGCGCGCGTGACCCGCCGACCCCGACCTACCCGCACATCGAGTACCAGCCGGCGCCCGCCATGCTGTCCTCTGAGCCGCCACAGGTGGCCCTCACGGCCAAGCCGGCGACGCCGCCCGCAGCCGTGGCCATCTTCAAGCTCTCCCGCGCCGAGCTCGGCCGCCTGCGTTCGCAGCTCCCCCGTGCGCGAGGGCGCGCCGCGGTTCAGCACGTACGCGGTGCTGGCGGCCCATGTGGCGGTGCGCGTCCCTGGCGCGCGGCCTGCCCGCCGACCAACCCACCAAGCTGTACTGCGCCACGGACGGGCGGCAGCGGCTGCAGCCGCCGCTGCCGGAGGGCTACTTCGGCAACGTGATCTTCACGGCGACGCCGCTGGCCAACGCCGGCACAGTGACGGCCGGGGTGGCGGAGGGCGCTGGCGTGATCCAGGCGGCGCTGGACCGGATGGACGACGGGTACTGCCGGTCGGCGCTGGACTACCTGGAGCTGCAGCCGGACCTGTCGGCGCTGGTCCGCGGGGCGCACACGTTCCGGTGCCCCAACCTGGGGCTCACCAGCTGGGTGCGCCTGCCCATCCACGACGCGGACTTCGGGTGGGGCCGGCCCGTGTTCATGGGCCCCGGCGGCATCGCGTACGAGGGGCTCGCGTTCGTGCTCCCCAGCGCCAACCGCGACGGCAGTCTGTCCGTGGCCATCTCGCTGCAGGCGGAGCACATGGAGAAGTTCCGGAAGCTCATCTACGACTTCTGATCTCCAACTCCTCCCCAGAAGTCATCATCAGTACCAACCAGTACGCGCACCACAGAGAAGCAGAAGCGCTAGCAAGAGGCTCAGGGAGGGTGATTTTTCAGCTTTACTACTGGAGTCTGGAGGGAGTAGGTTGCAGCAAGATTCTTTGATTTCACACATAGTTCCTGCACACTTTTCCGTTCCTGCCTGCCCCCTCTGGGCAGGGTGTATACCTTTTGTGCCGTATGATTTACGAGCCCCAGCAATTGTATGATGAATGAACAATTTAATCCGTTCTGAATGATACAGGTTAATAAGATTAATTAACTTACCTCTTGAACCTTTTTGTATATATAGGCATAGGGGTATATGCAGGGAGTGCAGGACAGTGGTGCGATTCAAAACGCTGAGTTCGATCCAGACCAACCAATCTGCATGACAGGAGCTAAGAAAGTACTAATACTACTACAGTACTCTGCTCTATTGGACGATCGAGAAAGTACAGCCTGAACTTAGCATGATTACTTTGGTCTGGACATGATCATATGACTGGACCTTCTTGGCCATGTGTACTAGTTGACGAATTGAGACATCCCAAACGGGCCCGCTGAATAATTTGGGTTCTAGAAAGACACTGCACAGTGCACATATCGAATACAGGACGCACGGCAACGGGAAGAACTTGGAACGTCGTCTGATTCCATGGATTGCAGCGATCGGAACTGGTCGCACAGGTCCCCTTTTGTCTATGACCCGAACCACATGCACATGCGTGGACAACGAGGATTAGGTCGAGTCGAGCTCCATTCCGTGGTGGCTGGTGGTGGTGGTGGGTGTTCGCCAACCCTGGCCGGTTGCAAGTTGGTGACGACACTGACACGGGCTCCATGTGGCCTGTAGCTGTAGCTTCCTCCGCGCGGATTACGATTGTAGTCGGGAGTCCACGGCGCGGACCGGACGCAATTTGCGATTGCTCAGTCGAGGTTGGTGGTGTGTCAGCCCTCACCCGTACCAAACAGAATTTATACCGTCGTCAACCGGTTGGATCATCGCCGGTGGAGTCTCTCGCATACCAGTGCTGTGCTTTTTTTTTGCGAGAAATATCGCTGCTGGTTTTAAGTGAACCAGCTACGATGCCTATTACTGTTGCAGTGCGCGATTGATTTCTGTTTGCTTCTGGTTCCTGGTTAGTAAGGAAGTTGGCAAGCTCTTCTTTTTTTTTTACAAAAAAAAACAAGATGATGATAATTTAAGACAGCAAGCATCAACACGTACATAAAACCAATTACACATGCACACAAGCACAGATGGTAAGACAAAAAAGCGTTAATCTCAGTCGCATGGTTCTCATTAAGGCTAGTCTGAATAGGAGGCCCACGGTTTCCTAGACGTGATAGCATTGATATTTGTGAACGGAACAGACTCTCTTCCTCGATAAATACAAAATGGTGACATTTTCATTTCACTGTTTCATAGACTATTTTCAACATTTAATTCTTGTAAAATTGTGTGATCAGTTGTGTCATATGAACTTTGTAGCCATTTTATATTTATCTAAAAACTAGCACATTAAAATATCACACAATATCTAAAGAATATGATTATTTTCCTTAAAAAATGTTAGTACCTGTTGAGAGCCGCTGCCGGTGAAGTGTCCTCCGCCACCAGTGAGTGTGCGAGCAGTTCGTTACAGCAGCAAACCACACCGGATCTGATGAAACAAAAGAACGAGCTTAATGTAGGTTTCATCCATTTTCCAAGGTGTGGGAAACAACGCTAATCGTTTCATGGCCATGAAACTCTAATATTTTCTCTCTTCCTTGATACATGCAAAGATTCTATTTTTGCTGATATGTCATCTTATTTAATACACCCTCCGGTTGCAAGTTGGTGACGACACTGACACGGGCTTCACCAACCTCAAAACGACTTGCTTTAGACAATCTCAAAACGAGTATGCATGAAACACCCATGACATCCCCATCGAGACTGGCCTAAGAACCACTAAAATCACTTATCTTGTGGGTCTACATGCTCACACCTTCACAATACTGTTTGGAGTTCTTTGACCATGCATACGGTAAGCCAAATGGGTCCATCACATCATTCATGTCTCTTGACAAAGCTTACCTTCTCCTTAAAGTTTAGTATTTCAACTATAGAAAAAAAAATCATGCATATGTGGTACATGTAGAAGCCGTCGTGACCACTGCTGATGGATGAGCTTGTCAAAGTGAGTAGAGATGCAAACCGGTTTATCTGCAAACCTAAACCCGCTTGCATCCCTAAAGGTGTTGAGGTATTGTTAGCCCTGCTAATGGTTTGGTTTTGAATGGTTCTGGGTTGGTTTTTAGATTGGATTACTTTGGTTTGGTGAGGAATGGATTGAGATTTCGGATGGAACGTTTTGGTTTGGACTCTCACTAAAAATCCACGGGTTCGGATTGAAATCCTAGGCTCAAATTGTGGTCCGAAACTACAAGCCTATATGCAAGTTAAAACCACATGTTGAGATGCACGGAGATTATCAGACAGTAGACAAGAGGATGTGAGATGGACGTAGACCATCAGGCAGCAGAGCAGAGGATGCGGTATGACGTGAAGGTTAAAGTCCCGGAGAAGGAGGTGTTTAGGCTCGGCCTAACTGCGCCATCATCGTCGTCAATCGAGATGGAGGCTGTTGTGCCACCGGTGTTGATGAAGAAGATATTGACAACGACCAACCTACTGGGACGACACCATTGACAAGTCATCATTCCAGAAATCGAAGAACTACCGTATTCAAGCATATCATTATGGACTACTGAAAGTGCATCTAACCCTTTAGTGGGTTTTGGATGATTGAATAACAATATGATTAAATGTCTAACCCGTTTGCTAAGTGTGAACAGGTAATAGGTTATCTCACAGGTATTTAATGAAAGCCAAAATGATGTATTGTTGGAAACAATCTAGTTCAAACACAAGACAACAATACAAATGTAATTTATGCAAGGCTTATTCATTGTGGGATTTCGATGACTCATATGAAAGCAAGCACGTTGAAAAATAATTAATGAGACATAAGGGATTGCATATGGAATGGTCTCACATTCTAAAGCTTGCTACATTGAAAGACATTTATACAAACGATCTAAACGAATGATTCAACACTAAGTGTGACTTGATGGCTTGAGTTGGTGAAGATAGCAAGGAAAGGCTTCGAGGTACTAAGCAAGGGTGAAGGGCAAGCGACGGCTTGGCGACCGAGGAACCTAGCTACGGTGAAGAAGGAAGTACTTACATTTAGTCAAGGTACTAATCAAATCATGATGGTCATGTTGAAGTGGAGGATCAAATCCTAGATGACTTGATATATTTGAAGCCAACTTTCATTTGTTGAATAAAACCAAGTCACATGCTCAAGATGGCTATGCTCAAGGAGAGAATCAAATTAACATGATTATCACCCTCACTTGTCGAAGATTTAAAGCTATGGCATTTTGGTTCAAAGGAATTCAACTCAAGCGCTTCAAACTTCGTTTTCATTTGATCTTGAGTAAATAGGTATGTCGTACTATCAAGAGGGATGCATTATATTGATAGATGATTATTCATAAGTGCTCAAGCAAACCCATGTGAGATTTGAGTTAGAGAGAGCCAAGTGCTAACTTGTTGTGCTGCAGGTCCAAATACTGGACGTGTCCGGTATTGGCCTGGCCACAGCATCTTCTCTGGTTTTCTCGGGTTCGTTTATCGGGAGTTCCAACAAACATCAGGAGTTCCTATGGCAGAACAGCCTGAATTAGCACACTTTCGGAGGCGCTCGTCTTCCACTAGACACTAAGCACCCTGAAAGTGAGCTACATCGGACCGTTCTGTCGAGCACACCCTATGGGAGAACTCGAAACAATCCACAATTTACATCCAGGATCCAATAATGAGTACGAGTTTACAATACTTAGTCCATTTCATACAACAAAGAGTTCTTAGAAATTATTTATTATAATACCAGAATTTAGAGTGCGATAATTAAATAGTGGAATTAAAATGAACATCTAGCGAAAACGATACAAGGATCCGTCTATGTCCACCAGAAGAATCCTCCACACAAGAGCTACTCCTCAAGCTACACCTACAACAGGGGTAAAATAAACCCTGAGTACACAATGTACTCGTAAGACTTACCCGACTAGAGGGAATAGTTTCCCGACTCCAAGGGGTATGATAGGCAATATGGTTTGTTGTTTTCTTTTTATTTATGAAAAGCATTACTAATAGTACATCCTTAAGATCATGTTTTATTAGCAGCCATGATTACTTCATTAGCTAACCATTCTAAGTATGCACATGTTCTACTTTCAAGCAAGGGTTGAGCAATCAGAACCATTTCACCATCTTTCATCTTCCAGTTCTTACTACGGAGCTAGACCATAGCCAAGTCGTACCGTCTCACAGAAACAGCGATTCGCGGACCAACGTATCAGAGCTAGGTATCCCAAAACACACGCCTCGCTTGTACCCCAGGCACAAACAAGACCAACATATTCCACTCATGTCGAGAGGTCCAGGTCCCCATCCAAACTTGGACTCCAAGCCTCCACTCTCGAGACCCGGTCTCAACATGGTGCTTAGACCTCTACCTTTCCCCGCCTCCAATCAGTCGGTCCGAAAAGAGACAGAACCCATGACAAGAGCATAACGAGTCTTTTCGCTCCCATAAGCAAGTATGTGCTCAGGATAATAAGTCTGTGACCTGACTACCATCCACAGCAACGGACGGTCCTCAATCGACACGGATAGGGAAAATAGTGTAACCAAGTTAAGCCCCGTTGGCCACGGGACACAACTTGTTACACCCACCAATATCCCATGCCATATCCCTGCCCGGTCTCCATTTTCTTTTCATCATTTTATTATGAGAGTAATAATAATCACCTATTGTGAGCAACGGCAGGTTACTCATGCTACCGATGACCTAAGCATAGTATCTACTCGAACCTGCACTAGTAGGACTCATAGGGTGTGTGTATGTGTGTGTA